TTCCTACTCCTGCTATGCAAAAAAAAAAAACCCCACCCAACCCCCAAAATTTGCAATATTTGCAAAACACTGCAAACAAACAGAGAAAAATCAGGGCAGCCAGTAAAGAGAGGGGACAAAGTTTCCAACGTGGGTGCAGGTCTCTAGGAGGGTCAGTCACCGCCCGGCCCGGGGCACGGCCGCTCGGCCCCGTCCCACCGCGCAGCTCGCCCCGGGCACACAAGGGGATCACAAGCACTCGGTGTCTCTGCTGACTACTCATCGTGTTCTAGAAATTGTATGGTTTTAAAGTAAATTCACTCATGCAAAACTGGCGTGTGAGTTGGTTCAGTGATGTGTCAGCGGCCGGACTGCGGGATAAATGGGAATATCGCTGCCGTGCGTGGGCAGGTTTGGTGCTGTGGGCGAGCGATCGCAGAGACAGGGCACGGGAGGCCACCAAACCTCTCCTGCCCCAGCAGCCGAGCCTCCCTCCTGCCGGGGTGAAGCAGCAACACACGGTGCGGGACGGGGCCCTGGGGCACAGCTCCCTGACTGGTACCATCGCCGCCCTGCGGGAGAGGGCCCTCCAGAAAGGTGACCAAGGGCTGATTTCCCACCAGAGGACATGAACACGAAGGGCTGCTGCCATCTCCTGGGGGCTCTCAGGGCATGGCCACCCTTGGATGCTTGGGGGCCAAGGATGTAGCCCCGGTGGGGCTGGTGCTTCGGGCTGTGACGGGCTTGGGGACACATTGTGGTCCAGCCACTGATGCAGCCTCGGGTCCCCACTTTGCTGCCCGACCCCCCTGGCCTGCTGCTTTGCCCCCTGATTGATAAAAAATACTGCAGTCCAGAAATCACCTAAAGAAGACAGAAAAAAAAAATAATCTGCAAATCCCCCAGGTCTTTTATTACTCCAGGAAAACCCCAGATCAGCATCTTCATCTTTAGTTTGGTGTGACAATGTGTAACATTAAGAGCACGTAACACTGAGTATGCTTTAATCACACATTCACGGAGACACTTCTGCTGCCAGGGAGTCCAGGCAGCGGCACTGCAGCCACTTAGCAAAATCCCAATCAATTTAATTAACTCCATGCACTGTGGCCCCTCCCTGGAACACCTCGGGGCTGCCATGACCCAGGTTCTGCTGCCGCCGGGCTGGAGGAGCGCCCGAGGTACGGCACAGCTGGTGCCAGTTTAATCAGTGTCCCCAGCTGGGGATGGCACATCAGCTGCCACCAATTACCTGTGGACAAGAACTGCCTCCACCCCCAAAGAGAAGCTCTGGTAGTGGCTACTGGTGAGGTGGCTTTGAGGAGGATGGTGGCTTCGTCCCTGGGGCCTGAGGTAGGATCTGTGCTAGCTGCTGTGGTCGGGCAGGGTTGGGAGGTGGGTGTTGGGAGGGTGGTGCCGCTTGTGGGAACTGATTTCTTCAGCTTTTGGTGCGGCTGCAGCCTGGCCCTGGTGCTGGGGTGGCCGGGGGCTACAGCGCTCTGTGGTGGGAGCCCAGTCCTGGTGGGGAGCAGAGGCCAGCGCTGCCTGGGTGGGGGTTTGGTGCCTGGGCAGGCGTGCTGTGGTTGCTGCGTTTCCCACTCGGTGCTGGCTGAGTGAGAGCACTCGCGCCTTTCACCAGTGATGACTTTATTTTCAGTTACCCATCACGTTCTAACCTCAGTCAACCTCTGGAGGCTGAAGGTGCTGAGGCAAGTGCAGGTGTGTGTGCTTTGTTGTTCTATATGTAGACAATATAGTCACCAAAAGCCCAGCCTGAGCCAGAAAAACTGCAGCAAGGACTCTTTCTTAAGGAGAGATATTCCTTCCCAAAGGCAAGCTGGCAGAGGCCACTTACAACCATAAGGCAGTTCCAAAAGGTGGTTGGCTCATTTTGGGATTATTTTCTGCCTGAATCTCCCATGATGTCACATCCATCAGTGTCATAAAATCACTTTGGTGCTAACCTGATTGTATAGGGCAATAACCCCCGGGGTTCCTGTGTTCCCCCGCCGGCAGTACCTCAGAGCGCTGGGAGATGTGGTTTGCTCCCTGTGACTCCATTAACAACGTGCAAAGCAGCAGCATTGCCACCACACCTTCTCCTCGGGGGAGCAGGGGAGCGATGTGCTCCTGCCCCTTGGGAGACCCCCGGCCTGACAGGGGTTTAGGTTTGAAAGAGAATTTAAGGGTGGACTAACACACTGGTGTGTGTCCACACGGCCTTCCCACTCATCCTGGGGATACGGACATGCTCCTCAAATCAGTGTCGTGTCCCACCAACCTTGGCTGCACACGGGGCTGGACCGTGGAGCAATGCAGCGTCCTGCAGCTGGATGTGTGATAGCACCGGCAAAATGGGTGGTGTGTGATTTGAGCTTCTCTTAACTTAGCGAATGGCTTCCCCCAAAGGTTGTCCCTTCCTGCATGTCCCAGGCCCTGTCTGGGCTGTGTCCTCCAGACCCCAGGAGGAACCTCTAGGGCCACGTCTTACAGCCATCATGGCCAGTAAAATGTGATATTTGTTTTACATAGATGAAGCTGAGATTCTTTGGCCACCTCCCTCTCTGCTCCTGCCTGGATGGTGGGCTCGGCTAAGGGTAGCAGCGGTCAGGTTGTGCACAAATGCGAACCTCGGGGAAAAAATGTGCCCTTTGATTTTAATTTCTGTTAACACTGATTCTGTGAACTGGCTTTGCAAGGACAGCTTCACCTCAAACGAGGTGACCGGTGCCCACTGTGCTCCCCTCAGGGCCGCTCTGAGACCATGGGGATGTGCTCTACCCTTCTGCATGGCTTTCGGTTTGCCGTGGGCAGAAAGTCACAAAAACCGGAGGCGTCCCACAGTTAGGGCCCATCAACCCAAATGTCCCCAGGGCCAACCGTGTGCTGTGTTCTACCAAAACAGGGGATTGCTCGGGGGCCTGAGGGCACAACAGAACACTCCGAGGTGGCAGGGAAGCCGTGTGTCCTGGGAAAGAAAACGTGGGGGATAAGGTGACTATCAAGGAAAGTCAGCGAAACTGTGAATGAATGTGAAAATCAGACATTGATATAACAGTAGAAGTTTCTTCCAGTGGTTCCAAACTATGGAGGTTAACGTGTAGTTTGAGGGGAAAATGAAGTCTTAACTCCGGGTTGTGACAAGTGCAGTGGCACCTTCTGAAGTTCTAGTGCAGTTGCTTTATAAATACACCCCACGTCCCCACGCCCCTTCCCACCTCCAAACATTTCTCCAGATTAATTGCTCCAGAGTGATTTCATCACTTCTGGCTGTGGTGGTTAACTGAATTTATAAAAACCCTGTTAGTCCGTGGCGTTTGGCTATTGTGCTGCTGTTGGTGCCTGCCCAGCAGCTCCACGCTCTGGCAGGTCCGACACAAGCTCATCCAACTCCTGTTCGAGTTTAAAGTGAGAATTGCTGATGAAGATCCCATCAGCTCGGATCAGAGCTGTCCTCAGCCCGCACCACGATTCCAAGCAGCGGACGGCCACCCCTTGCAGTCAGACCCTTTGTGCCTCCAAAATGAGGGGCTGCACAAAGCTGATGGTGCGCGTTCCCCTCTGGTGTCTGTGCTCTGGCTGCGTCCCCTCCTGTGGCCCTGGGCTGCAGTGTGCGCCACTGACCCTCAAACACAGCCCCAGGGGTGGAAACCTCCTCTCCAGGGTGGGTGACCTCAGCTGTGGGCTGTATGGTTGCGGGGGAGAGGCGAAGGGTGTTTAAGAAGCAAAGCGCAGAGCCCTGGTCTGTCTCTCCAAAGGTTAAGCTCCTGAAAGGCAGACAATGACTATTTTGCTTTCTGGCCTTTTATGGCAGCTTTTAGATTAGGCTGGAGAAACAGCCCGTAGGTGCTTTAATGTTTAAAATAAATGAGTGTCTCTTGGTGTGGTTGAGTTAAAAATAAATCTTCATCATGACGAAACCAAGGCAGGGGAAGCTGGAGGTGTTTGCTCGCACTCGGCTGGTGCATCAGGAGGAGGCTGGGGCTGGGGTCTGCCTCGCGGGCACCCGGGGCAACGACGGGGCTCAAAGGCAGCCCAGGTCCTGCATAAAGCGGGATCTGTGGTGATGGTTACTCACCAGTGACTGCCACGCAGCTGTCTCGGTGCCCGCAGACACGTCGCTCTGTTGGGGACGGGAGCGGTGACGGTGTGTCTGCAGGAAGGACGCGCTGGAGCCCCGTCACGTGCTCCGTTGTGTGTTGTGGGTGAGAGCCGGCAGCGCTCCCTGGCCGGGCATCGGCTGGTGGCCGTGGGGCAGCCCTGCCCGGGAGCGGGTGGTGGGGTGCCGGCACCATGACTGTGCGCGGTGCAGTCGCCCCGATGGGGAGTGCGAGGGAGCGGGGCAGTCGGGGCATCCCCTCCCTGCCCGGCACGGGGGGTGCTGCAAGGGTGGCCAGTCTGACTGTCGTTTTGGTAGCCCCAAGAATCAAGCAGCTCAGAGGGGGCTTTGCGAAGGGGATTTTTGACTAGTGGGGAAACTGAGGCGCAGAGCAGCCATGTGAGCTGGCAGTGGTGACAAGGCAGAGCAGGTTTCCTGTCCCCTTGAGCAGTGTGGTCAAATCTGGTAAAAGCCCCTGTTGTCCCAGGGAAGAGGCTCTGCGGGTGTCCCACCTCCTCTCTCAGGGCACGGTGCTGCCAGTCTGCAGCTGCCGGAGAGGTGGCCGGCCAGCTCGTCTCCTCCCGGGGAAGGGATCACTGCCTCCTGGCACAGCCTGCTGGGAGGAAAAGGGGGTCTGCTCCCTGCAGCCCCCGCCGTGGACTGGCCGTTCCTCGGGGACCTTGCCCAGCCATGCACTAACTGGTGGGAGGGGGGTCACTGCCGAAAACAGCCTCTTGTTCTCTGTGAGCAGCTCTGTTGCATCCTTAATCAGGCAGGGCTGCCGAGCTTGGGGAAACGCCTGCTCTGTGCCAGCACCCCGGGGGCGGCTGGGGGGTTCCGGTGACCCCCTTGCTCCTGGGCCAACACTGTGCCCGTGGCCACATCACCAGCGCAGTGATGGGGAACCAGGGCTGGGCTCAGCGTTGCCTGGCGGTGGGAGCTTCTGGGTGCCATTGCTGTTCCCCACTGTGGATGATGGGTTTTGCCATCAGCAGCTGAGGCGCCTTGTTGTGGGCTAACACAGTGCTGTGGGACGGGCTAGAAGAGGGGAAAAATAACTTTTGGGAGGATCCGAGCTGTCCAAAGCTGTGCTCTGGGTTCCCCCTGCCTCTCCTTTGCACGGCTCCTTAGTTGTCAAGAGAAACAGGCACTGGACTTGCAGCCTGGCAGCACTTTAGGGCCTCTGTAATTAGTAACATCTGCATTGTACTTCCTGGTGGTTCCACACGTAAGAGAGCAGGAAAAAAAAATAAAGTTTACGCTTGCACAAATTTGCAGATTGAGACCGAGTTAGGACGGGGCTGGTAGCACTTGTGGGAAGAGGACCAGAGTCTAATATTGCCCTGATAACAAAGGAAATGATCTAAAGTAACTGCAAGGCAAGTCAATAAGGAGCCATAACTTTTCTTTTCTAAGCATATTACTTTAAAGGAAGCAGTCCAAACTGTGAAATGACTGTCACAGAAAAGTCAACATCTTGATAGATTAATATGAAAATTGGTCACTGAAATAATAGTAAAAACTTCTTCTATTGGTTCCAAAACAAGGAAGTTGGTGAATATTTTGAGAGAACAAAACTGCCTTAATTCCAAGCTTTGAATAAATGTATTATTTTCCTAAGTTTTAGAATGGTTGCTTTTAAATTAAACTATCCAAATTTTCTTCCATTTAATTGCTTCAAAGTGATTTCATTAGTTCTAGCTATATCAGTTAATTGCTTCAATTTAATGTGTAAAATTATTCCCAGCAAATGGCTCTCATTAGATGTTGGCGCGCTCTCACTAATTGCCAGCAGAGGGCAGGAAACGATCAATTTGCCTTGATGGAAGTTACCGGAGGGCTGGTCTATCGGTCCAGACCTGCATCTAATTTCACTGGAGTAGCAATAGAAATTAGAGGCTATTTTGTATTTCAGCATGACTGTGGCATAACGCGAGGCCCGGTGTGACAGCATCTAGATCAATGTACACCTTCCAGTGACAAGAGAAGCTCCCAGAGACCTTCCAGCCAGCTCCTGGGCTTAAAATGTTTGAGTTGAGAAACCCAGTAAGACAGATGGGTAACTAAAATGTAATTAAGTCTACTGTTGTCTAGAAGGGTGAAGAAGTCTGATTTTTACACAGATCCACTCCCAAGGGTAGAGCAAGCACCAGCTGCTGTCTGGTCAACACCAAAAGCTGAGTTCATGCCCCACTCCCACCAGTGTTTGAGTGCTGGGAATAGCGGAGAGCAGCTCTTTGAACTAACAGGGGGGGGAGAAAAGGGGAGAAGGGAGTCCTGTATCCAAGTGTGTTATTTCGAAAAAACTGCTCAGACAACACAGGCTCAGGATTCAAAATACATTCTCAAACTTTTATTCCTCCCAGACGGTATGCAGTTGATTAAAAACCTTAGTAGCAAAACCAGACCAAAAATATAAGTCTCACACTTTCAGAAACAAACATGTGCATTTGCATGTCAGACTTACATGCAGAACTAAAGTTCACATTTCAGCAGTGAATATGCAAACGACTAACAAGGAATGTGGGCTGGCAGTGAGAGCAAACTGCTGCACATGTAACCACGGCAAACGTGCAACAAACGCTGTGTGCCTGTTCAGGTGTACGCAGTTCTGAGTGAAGGGCCTGGGCCATATAAAAAAAGTGAAATGATAGTGCTGGTTTTGAAACATTGTAAGCAGAAGAGAAAAATCCTATTCACAAACAGGACAGCTTAATGAAAGCTGTTCGGTGCTTCCTAACTGAGGCTGCTTCAGCAATGTGCAATATTAACCTTCTGTACCTGGATTAGACTTCGTAGACTCTTCTTCCTCGTGTACACATTTAGTTCAGCGAGCAAATGATATGGAAAATGCTGCTCTTGCTTCCACTAGAATTTAAAAATTCCACTAGCGAATTCTGGAGTTAGGGACACTTCATGAATTAAGCAAAACAAAAGCTGCTGTTCTAAGATTTGAAGCCAAAGTGCCAGCAAGGAGCAACTGCCAATTACAGAAACCCAACTGCAACTGGCTTTAGCCAAAGAAAAATACACATTAAAACTAGAATTTCAAATGCAGTTCTGTACTGTGTCATACAATCCCCCACTCCCCCAAACCATGCTATAATCAGTACTGTGGATTAGATACCTCAGTATGTAAAAAAACAAAAAATCAAACAAAACAAAAAAAGCCGGCCAAAACCACCCGCAACAAACCCAACCAAACAAAAAAACCCAAACTGCCACTAAAAACCCAACCCATAAAATAGAAGTCAAGAATTTCTTAAATGATAAACCCACCAGTTTTCAGAAATGCTTCCTTGTATGTGCAACATCTGCTTTTTGTCATGGTATGCATCTTTTCTGGATCCATAATGTGCAAATCCCATAAATCATAGATTTATTCCAGTCAGATTCCCTTACTAGTGCTCAAACAAATTCATAGTATAAACTGTCAAGACTCTCCATGCTGTGAATGAATATATAGATATAAAAAAAAAAAGTAAAGTGCAATTAATTCTGTTTTGCAGAGTCATACAATGGCTCTGTACTTCAGCATATGTTTACAGCAGATTTCACAAAAGGAAGAAGACCCCCCCATTAAACAATGTCATCACTTCATGGCAGATGTTTCTGCTTTTCAATAGGCTGCATGAAATATGCTATGCTGTAAAATCTGAACAAAAGGTTCTTCATTCAGTCCAGGGTCTGACACGTATGGGTTTCCATCACTGACTAGTAATAGCAAGCACAGTAGATCCGCAGTTTTATACCTAAACATGTGGCACAAGACATGCCTGAAATCAGAAAGTTCATTCTTAGCTTTCCAGCTCTTGTGCAGTCAGACTCCTGATACTTAAATCCTCTTCCTAACGCTCTAAGGATAAACTTGTTGCACTCCTGCCCCGGTCTGCTACAGCAGCTCTTGCTCATCATCTTCAGATCCTGAGGGTCCTTGTCGTACCTCTTCATACCATTTGTTTGTGAGGGTTTTCATCTGTATGCGCCCGTGATGCAAGTCCTAAGGCAAAAGCAAACCAGAACAGTTTGTTACTTAGCTACAACACTACTTGTGTGTTAGAGCAAAAGAGAAAGACCAGTTCAACATATTCCATAGGAAATAATCCACTCCTGGTCTCTAAGCATGCAAAGCAATTCTGTTTCCTAAGAGAAAATATTTATGAAGTGTTCAATCAGTAATTATTTCCATGGATGATATTTTTGATGACAGGTATTTTTACCTGTGTTTTCTAGACAGTCCTGCTCTGTGGGTTCTAACAATCCGAGTGCTGTCTGGATGGCCTGGCTTTGAATCTCACTCCTCTCTACACGTTCCCAGGGACAGTGGGAAGCTTGTGGCCTGTTTTGGTGATTCACATACTTATTTTTCTAGCCTTTGGTTGCAATCTGCATGGCAGCCTGTGCTTTTGGCTACCAACTACAAGTCAGATGCTTACTCTGGTTTCTTGATTCCTTTTTGGTTTTGCAAAAAAATGCCTTTAGCTTTTGTGGGAAAGTGCTGAAAGCATTCTTTTGACAAGAAAGGTATAAAACAAGGAAAAATAGTACATTTGTGAAGGTTAGGAAGAGGGAATGTGCACACTTTACACAAAATGATCAACTCCACAGCAAAAATGCTTATTTCTACGGCAAACTGGAAAAACAGCTAACGAGTCTCAGGTTTCTGAGGAGTGGAGTGAAAATGGCATAGTATTTACACCTCTAGAGCTGCTCAGTGTTAAGTTACATGTTCAGTCAGGTATCACTTTGCATGTACAGCTTCAAAGTCTTCATCTCCCAGTGAAGAAGTCTTAAAAGTGAAGGTTGCAATTCCCGTACTTATTTCCAAGATAAAAATTGCACTCTGCAGAAAAGTCACTCCAGAATTCACAGGACCATGTCCAGTAAAAAGGAGCAGCTTTGTGTGACAGCACTTTAAAAACTCTGCGTGAGTGGCAGCAGCTTTTTCTAGCAACAGTAGTAACTAGTGACTGGTGATACTCTTCATGGTACTCTACAAGATTAAAAGGCGAGTTCAATAAATCCATACACCTTTTAAAGTTTAATTGTGGTAGCCCTGAGAGATGCTCATTTAATCCAACCTGCAATTTTACAGTGCAGCTTTTCATTACAGCTGCTCTACATATGCACAAGTAATATATTAGATGGCTCACTGTTCCTAATGGAGGAGTTGTGTGGCTGCGCTATGAGCCTTGAATGGTACAGAGCGAAATGACAACTAATTGTTGTGGTCCTCGAAGCAGGACACTAACTTTCTTTCTTTCTAAGTTTCTTTCTTCAAGGAAACAAGAGAAACTTACTTCTTGTGTGAGTCTTCTGGTGAAGAAAGGATTCAAATACTTGGCATCAAACCACATAAACCCTTTGAGGTCCTGGCGTTTTATGTACTGGGCTTCATATTCCTCCTCTGTGAGCTCCGATAAATGTTCCGATTCGATGGTATTTCCCTAGAAAGGTCACAAATATTGGAATAACCTGAGAAATTTGGCAGTCATCCCTCCAGCTCATGTCAGCCCCCTGCTCCGGGCTTTCCCTTCTTGCAACCAATTCCCACGCTGGAACAATATGGAAATTATGACCCCAGCCTACCAGGGCTTATGGCAGTATGAATCTGTCCAGCTGTTGATTCCCAGAGCCACTTAGTTTCCCTGCTGAAAGGTAAAAGACCTTAGATGTTCCATATTTTGTATTCTTACTGTTGCCGAGAACAGATTTCTAGTGCGCAGGCTTTCTCTCGTGAGCCGGACAATGGTTTTATCCAGCAAGCAACACTAATGTCATCGTCTCACTTAAAACAAGCTCTGTATCAGAACACACCCTACCCCGTGCTCTTCATATACACACCTTCCTAGGCAGACAGATTAAGATAATTGTGAAGACTGCAAGCTTTTTGGAACCTCACACCAAGAGGAGCTGTTCTTCAGATCCTACACAAAACCCCTGCATGTATTGTTCGATGGTTTGGGGAAAAACAGGCAAAAATCTAGGATACTTTATGTCTTCCAGCCTTTTGCACAGGAGGTTTCAGACTGGCTGTTAGTTTTCTTTGGTACTCATGCTTAGCCAGAAATTGCTTTAAAATAAAACTCAGTCAGAGGGGTGTTGTTGCTACCACCTTCTCGCGGCCTTTCCTTTGACTTTTTCAAAATAATTCCCATCTGCCTTTTATGATTAATTCATGACTCACACTGTACTAGCTACTTTCCCTCTGTATATGACTCAATCCTGTATCATCTGCTTTATGCTTTTACAGGGGTTACTTTAATTTGTATGGATCAATTTATAATTAGATTGAGTTAAGAGACTATTTCTCCTCCCTTTGTCCAAACAGTTATTTTGTGTAAATACTAATCAAGCTCTGTCTTTGGGATATTTTAAAATTACGTTGCTTGACTTTTTCCAGTGCTTTCAATTTACTTTTCAGTAAAAAATAATGTACTAGTCTTGGAAAATCTAAAAGTTAAAAAGAAAAAAATAATCAGTGATCCTCTGAATAAAAAACACAAACAAACCATCTTCTCTGTCTTGCTAAGATTAATGTCCTTCTTGTTCCTCTTGCGTGCTTTGGAGTCCTCAATGTCAATCAGTCTGATAAGGGGCATGGTTCCTCCTCCCAGCAGCAAAATTGTGAACAGTACTATGATGATTGTTGTTGTCCCAATGAGCTGCCGCTTCTCTATTGGTTCCAAGCCCAAATGGAGGCTGAGGGCATAGGGAATTGCACCACGTAAACCTTAACAGAAAGAACAATAAATCAATGAAGAGTGAATCAATAACTAGTCTTCAGCGCCCTGGTAAGTCAACAGGAGTTCTACATCTTTACAAGATTTTTACAGTCCTATACCATACTCATTTATCTATCATTTGGTTACCGCCCTAAAATGAATCTGAACTCTTCAGATACTGTTGTTCAAACTGTGAAGTTGCTAGACCTAGAAAGAAAAGTAGACTCTCTGCAGAAAAGCTTTAGTGGGGATCACCACTGTATAGTCCTCTAGCACAAAGGGGAAAGAGAACAAATCTATTCCACTTGGGTTTGAGACCAGTGCAAATGTTCAGTTGAGTTTTGTTCCACAGATGGAAAACCAATTCTTCCCAGAGTAGCCCACACAATGAAAAAGAGAAAACATTTTTTCCAGTTCTCCGTACTTTGAGCTTTAACTTACCGCTAAACCACATAATAAACATCATTTTGGGGGTGATTTTATGATCACGGAAAAAGTTGAGTAGGTAGGAGAGCGGGAAAATATTCACTGCTCTACCAAACAGAACAAGTACCTGAAAAACAGAAATAAAAGCAAAAGGCTATTTGATGTGTTACATTCACAGAGGCCCCAGTTGCGTTTGGTTTGTAGAGGGTAAGGTGAATACGCTCTTTTCACTCACAGGTCTTGCAAGTAGGTGTGCTGCTAAACTAACATAAAGAAATCTCTCACCATAGGTCAGTGTGGAATTGAACTTTTTAAACATTTTGGCTGCTTCACTGAAACTAAACCAGGCTTGTCACTGACACAGACCAGACACTACTTACTTATAATAAATAAATGAAACCCAAGAGGCATTCCAGGGAGACCAAGAATTACTTTGGGCAAAAGCTCTCCTCAGTTCATTCAGTTCAGCTCCTTTAATCATTCCTTTGGCGCAGCAGCTAAGAGGCAATAAGATATTTCTATTGTCTCCCCATGGACCAGTTCCTCAGAGAAAAAGGCCAGAAGCCAAACAAATAGCATGTAATCTTGTTCCTCAACACCTCCCTGGGTACGATTACAAAATATACCACACATTGACAGTACTTTTTTCTTTCCCCCCTTTAAAAATGTTCAATTTACTGGCAGGCAATTAACAAATACAGTGTAAACTTTAACTCAGAAAAGCAAAGGTTTTCACAATGGCACTGCTTTCCAGCTCCACCGAAAACAGACCTTGATAAGGTAAATATCCCAGAATTAGTCATCGGGATCCTTGAAGGGCTGTGCTGTTTTCCTTTATGAATCACCCCAAAATTACGCAATTTGCATTATGCCTGTGAGGGCAATGCTACATAGAAGGAAGTGTCACACCTTAGATATATATTAGATAAGGAAATCGGGTGTAATGTAGTGAGAGCAGTTCCCCATGCTGATATCGCTATCCGTAATTGTAGATAACAATTTTTCCCTTGAACCATGGACTAAAATGTGCTAGTACTCGTTGCTGTATGCGACTGGAAATGGAGTCACATTTCCCTCTTTTTGACTCTGCAAAAGAGAATATACCTTTCATGTCTATAGTAAACGATTGTAATAGCAATAGATGTAGGTAACCCCCATGTGAAACATAATTCAAAGTGCCTCTCCATAAAGCTACACTAAAATGCGGAATGAAAGAAAAATAATTAAGAATGGAGTCAGAGAATGAATACACATTGGAGAAGGTCTGAGTCAGGACTTCCTCTGAAGAAGGTGAGCTCAGAGTGAAGAAGTGATGTTGATGTATGGACTAAATTGGTTTATGTAAACAAACTGTAAGGACTTATGAGAGAGAAAGACTCAAAAGCTGTAGTCCTAGAGAGATGAAATGGAGCAGAATTTGATACTAGTTTGCACTTAGTTTCTACGAACTGCCCTTTCACACAGATTGTTCCTATGAAGCTAAAGATACGTAAAAACTCAGGGTTGTTTTCTGGTCACATAACTTCTGCAATAAAGTGGCGTCTATTATAATCTTTTGAGATTTTTTTATTTAAATAAATCTAATAGGGTCAAAACAAGCAAAGTTCTTTTCCTTGTTTTTAGTAATCTTATACAGAAGGGCTTCAAAATAACAGCAAATTGGAATTCCTTAAAGAAGACTGACGTATTTGTACACCAAAGTGCTGAGAACAACAATAATAATTTCATGCTATTAGTGAGAGTTAACTTTGTGCAATACATAAAAATACAAAAGTATTTTCATAAAAACCTATAAAAACATAAGAACTATTCTAAAATATTTTAACTGTAAGGTGTTTCTCCCCTCCCCAATACCAAAACCACATCCAAACAAGTATGGAAGAAAGTAAATACCTACTATGCACCAGATGACAAAGGACATTTCAAACTTGTGAGGAAAACTAAAAATTGACAGGCCAAGAAATGCAAACACACACGTTTCTGAAAAAGAGAAATCACATCTTAAATAAACATTTCTATAAAACCTTTCCTACTCCTACCATAAGTTACTACACATGGTACATAAAATAGTATTTCCTGACTTCGGAATGCACAAAATAGGCACAAATGCCATTATGCAAAAGGCCAGATTCTTCCACTCCCACTGTCAGTGGACAGCACCTTAGTCTGTGTGTGCAGGCTTCTTTCAGCTGTAAACTACTAATGAGTATGAACAAAGCTAGCAAAACCTTGTTCTAAAGACTGAGGAGTTTTTTTACTTAGAAATATAGGACAAGCTACAGAAGAGACTACTAATGACTTCTGTAGCTTTGAATCAGATTCTATATAAAACTGAGATGTCAGGCAGAATCTCATACGTTGCAAGTTGAATGCTATTATAAAGTATTCAATTCATTAAATTCTTATAAAAGACAGCAGTTCATTACTTTCTTCATAATAAAATACTGCACTGTATGATCTAACAACCCTTGTATGTTCTAGTAACTTCTAGAAGTGGTGTTTGCAAATAGTACCACCACTGCACAATGACTATAGTAATCCAAACATTTTATTTCCACAGCACCAACACATCACCACCAGAGAATCACAGAGTCGAGATATTTCATCAGCTTTCTGCTGTCCTCCCAAGGTAGGTTCATTATCATAAAGGCAGTTAAAAAACAGGATGTTTTTGCATAGACAGTAGCAATACCCGAGTTACTGCAGCAGAAGACATTGTTTGGTCATGCTTTGGGTACTGGCTACTTACATTTGACTGTTCAAAACCTGCTGCAAATGTGTATGAAATTGCACAGTATCTTAAACCACAGAATTATAGCCTGGTTTGGGTTGGAAGGGTCCTTAAAGATCATGTAGTTCCAACCCCCTTGCCACAGACAGGTTCACCTCCCCCCAGCCCAGGTTGCTCCAAGCCCCGTCCAACCTGGCCTTGAACACCTCCAGGGATGGGGCAGCCACAGCTTCTCGGGGCAACCTGGGCCAGGGGCTCACCACCCTCACAGTAAAGAATTTCTTCCTAGTATCTAATGTATATCTACCCTCTTTTAGTTTAAAAACCCTCCTCTTTCAGTTGAAATAACTCCTTTACAGTGGCTTGAACAAGTACGTGGGTTTTTAGCATTTATAACAGGTTAAGACCAAACCCTGATGAGCTCCTGCTGCTCAGGTAATGAGTTGTTAAGTTTAGTTTGCAGCAAGACCACTCCCTGACCATGTTCCACATGCATCAACACAGAACAATACAGAACATATTCATGCCATCCCCCACAAAACAGCGATATATTTGTAATACAGAAGCATGTAATTTCTTCAAAAGTTTGGCTTGTAAAAGGCAATGGAAAGGCTATGGGACTCTGAGCTGCCTGTATCACTACTTTCAAAAACTTCTGCTCAATTTGTGAAGCTATTGTTTTTGCAAGTAGCTTTTAAAATCCAAAGCCATTTTAAAAAATACCGCTAAAAATCCATTTCCTAAAACTAAAAATAGACCAGAGGAATATAGGAGTCAGAGATCTCTATTTGGTTATCAATCTTGTGGCAAATCTTTGCAGGAGCCTGCAGGATGGGAGAGAGAGATTTATTGTATGTTTTATCCAGTGTGGCAGGAAAGGTGACTTTTGACTGCCTTCCAGCCTCTGCTATTAGGAATTCTTCTCTTAAAGTCAGGTACCACTGACACACAAATGGCTAGCGGAAAATTCACACTTCTGCTGCTCCCATCAGAATCAGCATTTTAAGCAAATAAAATTTTAAACTATTAACATTAGATATTAATAGTAGGTAGCACCTACCACACATGAAAGCAACAGTTCTCAGTGTCTGCTGCATTAAAATCTGTGTAACCGGGGACAAGTTATGGTGTGTATAGTGAGACATCACGATGCCAGAGAAGAGGATTGCCATGATACCTGTAGATAAAAATGTGGCAGTCAACAGAAGAATAACTTGCACTCTGCAAGTATTTGTGTTTATAGCCCTTACCAACGCAAAAGCTTATGAAGCAGTAAGTGGGTTTTCTGTTACCATTGTTATTCATACTGGTTTCATTCCACCGGTCATATTACATACTTGGAGGTCCAGCATAGGTCACTTGCAAGCTAGAATAAATCCCTGTTATGTCACATTTTCCCATAAAAGTGAGGTAAATCAAAAGACAATTCTTGAGTGTTTTTCCTCCTTTTCACTCTCTTAACAGCTAGAGAGGTGAGATCAAAAGAAGAGTAAAAACAATTTGAGAATAGCGGGGCTAGAGAACTATATGATTCAGTTCTCCCAGAAAGTGTGTCATTCTTTCCTACCTGATGATCAGCCAGGCTCAATCACTCCACCAGAAGTAGAATGAGACCCACAGAGCATGAGTGTGAATCCACTCCAGCATGGCGCACTACATCTAATACCATAAAAAGTTAAGAACAAATAGCACACACAGGGGTACCCCCAATTTTTTATCAATCTGAGAATCAAAAAAGCTATTGAGACTTGAGAATTCAGGGCAAAAAGTACCTTGGTAGGAATCATTCAGGGAGGAAACGACTTTTAAGAGCACCGAGTCCAACCATAAGGAAGGTACAGTCTGATACACAGGGCCTGCAAGGAATAGTACGGGGCAGAATGTCCCCTGCCTCCAGCAGAAAGGGTCACTAAACCATCTGCTATGAGTTACAACAGAGATTAATCTCAGCTATCAACTATGGGAAAAGCCACCAAATTTTCCATTACAGAGTTCAGTTGCCCTAATGACATGCAGAGCTTGGACAGAGGTACAGCAACTGATATCACAGACCAGAACAGCTACCTGAGATTTCCCTGTATTTCACAAATCTTTAATTTGTGTTAGGGATTTTCTCCATTTACCTTGCTTCCCAGCTCTTGGTTATTTATGGGAAGAATTTGAATTTCAACCTATTTCGCTAACTGCTCGAGATACATCACAGACGCTGTCACTGTTCACAGGGAGCTGGGTATCTTAAAGGAAGTTTTAAGCATTTCCACGGCTGCTGCATAGACTTACACCTGCAAAGGATGTCATTTGAGATGATGGTTAGGACTGTGGAAGAATTTAGCAGTCCACTTGAAGAACAAGTGAGTTATTTCCTTGTGAGTTATTTCCTTGTGAGGAAATAACTGACCAAAACTGACAATATAACCCAGAAGTAATCAATTGTAATGCAGATCTTGAGAGGACTGGATGACATGTGGGAGTATGCCTGTTTTGCCCAAAACAAGGGAAGTTTAAAAGACTAGAAGTATTTGGCTGGAGATCCGTGCCCAGGAGTGGCCCAGATGAACAGTGGAAGGATTAGAATAGCTGAGGTACAGTCAAAAGAATCCTTTGTTTGAAACACAGGGGTGACCTGACTAAGGTCATTCAAAGTTTATATTTCTTGAGGAGTCATTCTTGAAGGCACTTGAGCAAATTAGAGAGGTTGTCTTTACAAAAGCAGTGACAAAGAACCTCTATCATCCTGACAGTAACTAACTAGGAATCTTACTGTAAATTCTTTTTCATTGTATACCAACAGACAGATTTGTTGGTTACATAATGAAATGGCACTGTAATTCTGTAATATTTTATTATAATTTTATATTAATTAGGAATATAAATTAGAACTAGAACAGGCCACGTGCTGAGACCCTCCAGAGTAATCTTCTCACAAGGCAAAACTTGTTTTTACAGCAATACAAATATTTTAACATACCAAATTGCTTGCTCGGATTTCATATAATTTCATTCCCCTACATATGTGCTGGCCTATACAAACATACAGAGTAGTTCTGGATGCAAGTGGGCAGAATGGAATGTTTGCATTAGGATTATACATCTTGATTGTGTAACTACCACGGTTATATGCCACATCTTCATACATATAAAAAAAAATACAACTCCACTAACATCAGTGAAGGTACGCTGATACACATTGCTACAGATCCATTCCAAAATATTCAAATTAGCTCACACGTACATTTTCAGAAAGTCTGGTTTCATACCTGCAGCTCATTTACAAGAAATCTAATCCTGCTACTACTCCTCACAAACTATATATTCTTATATAGTCCAAGCAGTAGAGCAAATACATCTTTTAATGTGCTTTAAACTTAAAAAAACCCCAACCAAACAACCAAGAAAATAGAAAAGGAAAAAAAAAGAATGAAGCAGATTACCTAGGTATTTCAATTATACTAACTGTTGCATCCCTTCCACTTTCCTTTGAGAAATGAGACAAAGCTGACTGCCTTAAAAAAACCCAGTTCATAAACCACCTACGTTGCTGACAAAAAAAAAAAATCAGCAAAGCTCATAGATGTTGGACGTCCAGGAGAACTGGATCCTGTCACTGTACTTGATTCTACAGAATGATGGAAGAAGTTCAACTGTAAGCCTCTTCTTGTGGACTTCAGCAAAACTTCTACCAAGTATTCAGAGATATCAGCTGATTTCCCCAATGGCGCTGAAGGACAAGCAGAAAAATGGCTACAGGGTAGTATGCTGGACATTATCTAAAGTTAGCTGATGTGGCTAAGATCTACACTGTGCAGCTGAAATTTTAATTCTGTGTTAGGCAGAGGCAACTGGGGAGAATACTAGTACTTATGTTGGCTAACTAATGCTTATGAAAACTGCAATTACCTTTTCTATACTTTTATAACATGAAGTAGAGAATAAGTGTTTCTTTAAAGTAAGTCAAAGTTAAAAGTAAGAGCACAGGTTAAATCAGAAAACATGTAAAAAACCAGGAGCCCTCTTAGACACAAATAATACCTGCTCCCTAAAATTACCAAAGAAACTTGAACATACTCATTCTGCTACTCACCTGAGAGTGAGATACCCTCTGCAAGTCCATACGGAAGGTAAGCGAAAATAATCATCATTCCAAACTCTAGGGAGGGTGTCTTCCTTAAATCAATGTGCTTTAGCACGTACACATGAAAACGTTATGGAAAAAGTAAATAAAGAAAACATTCAAAGAAAAATTTAAATCTGTGTCATTCCATTACAAAACAACAATTATCCTTAATGGACTTATCTACTGGATAGCTAATAAAGTCTACACATTGGTCTTTGACTCAAGTATGGAAAGATCAATAATTTCTTATGAATAGATTCTTATAGAAGCTACTGCAGGTAGACATCTGTCAGAATGAACAGACCTAGAGACAGAAAACATCTGCAACCGATGTACCTATACAATACTGATAACAATACGCCAAATTGTTTGTTTAGACCTAGAAGGGCCATTTCCCTGCATCTTCAGTCTTTGAAAGCTCTGCTCCAAAACTACTGCAGAAAATCATAGCACAGAGAATCATTAAAAAGTAAAGGTTTTTCTAAAAATAGGGGAGAGCTATGAAACAGCAAATTAAAAGTAAAACAGCTCTCGTTTATGTTTTAACAAAAATAATGTCCTTTTGATACTCAAGGTATTTAAAACTTACTTTACATTTGAAGTCATAAACGTGGATGTTTGTCATGGGCCGCAAGTTCTGGTTTGCGTCTCATGCACAGTTCTGCAGCACAGCTGCCAAATACAAGTAGATTTTGCTTCAGACATCGTTATTTGCCACCCTAAGCATGCAAGCAAGCTCCTCTGTTCAGTCACTAGAGCTCTAGCTACTTTCAAATGAATGTGACAGATTTGCAGTAATATTAACAGTGAGGAATACTCCTTCAATCACATCCTTGCCTTAATGCTCAAAATACTCCATCTACCATCTTTGTTAAAATTCAGACGATTAGATGCCTGTGACATGGAAGTTCACATTCCTCCTGGGTCATGAACCAGTGACAACCTTCAACTATATTTATCTGCTGGCAACTAATAAGAGATGTCCTTTGCTGCACTGAAATTTGGCATACTTAGGGTAAATCCAATGTTTGAGGCACAAATAACTGTAATAGGACAAATAAGCTGCTTTTCCCTTTGCCTTAATATCATTTAGATATCAGTGACAGAAGTGTTGAACATCTGTCTCCCTCTTTTGTTGTGATGTATAGAATAATTTAAAAGTTCATGGAATCAGGCTAATGAACCAAGAGAGGAAATATGTCTATATTTAACCAAACGCTCTGTTCCTTTTATTTACAAACAAAGCGCTTAACAGTACGTCCCTGATGACATGAGTAACTGTTGTACAAGCCTAGTACAAAAGATTACCTACAGTGAAGTCAGCGTTAACATTAAACAAGCTCTGAAAGGCAACAAAGGTGTCTGACTTACAACAAACATCCTTCCTTATCTCTGCAGAGAAGCTTCTGGGTTGTTAGCAACCAATTCATGGAAGTGGAACAGGCAAAACATAACTCAACGTAAATCCAAATAGAACAGTACCTGTATACAGCTGCCTGAATATGATACACAGGGACAAATGAGCTGGTCTGACTCAAAAGCCCTCAGGAAAAGCAGCTTTTTTTTTTCTTTTTAATTAATAGTTTTATGTATGTAAAACAAAAGGAGCCATATGCTTGTAAAAATGAATGAGTATTGAAATAAAATTAGTATATTTTGAAACTACAAAACAATTACCATATTTTATAACACTCCAATGCACATAATATAAGCTACTATACAGCATTTCAGACCTTAATTATGTTCATAAAAAATTGATGCAACTTTTTAATACACACCCATATGCACTAACATAAAAACAGAATGAGCATGAGAAAATCCTCAGCCAACAAAATAATGTCTAACAAGAAATATCTCCTAAGAAATGCTGGTTGGGAAAGAAAAATACTATTAGAACGTTGAAGTTCACCAACTTATACATGTGTATCACCAAAACTAAAAAAGGATATTAATGCAGAAATAAGACCAGTAAGTGTGCCAAGCGCTGCAGAGCCAAAGAACATTTTAAGAAAGTATCCCAGTGCCTGTAGAAAGGTTTCCCATCCACTTACATCTGACATGTTTTCTCTTGTCAAACCTTCTGCTGTGCTAGATAAAATTAAAAAATAAATAAAAAGAAACGGTTATAAATTCTAAGCCTGGATCCAAAAATACCAAACATCTTCTGAGAACAACAACAAAAGAGACTTCCATTTCTTTGTTGCTACCACTCTTAAAAGGCTTTTACTGTGATATATATATCAAGAGGAATGTCAGAAGATGTTAAATCAAGTCTTAGTGTAATCCCCACAGGCAAACCTAATTCTGCTATGAATCTGGAAATCCAGCATTGCTCTTCTGAAGAATCCCCACAATGGCGTAAGTAGGCTATGATAATGCCCAGTATTACAAAACAATTTTCAAACGTTGGAAAGGAAAACACAACACATTTTGCAGTGGTAAAAACTCAGGGCGTGAAAAAGAAAAGAGACGGATCATGTGATCCTCAGAGAAGAACAAATGAACAGGAAGACCTCTCATCAAATATTTAGGTGTGGATGAGAGACAAGATCATTGAAGAAAAACAAAGAATCTCTTGGGAGGAAAGGGGAGAAATCTCTGAATTTCAGGAATGTAGTTCATAGAATTCCATGCAGAGATGACATGGATTCTTACTAGTGTTTCTTTTAACTGCTGTTAGCCTTCATGGTCTTTCATAAAAGAACCACGACTGTATTAAAAGCAATTAGTTAATTGAAAACTGACTCTAACTTAGAATCACTTTACTACTTTCATAACATATCTACTCCTATACATTGTCACATCTATTGACTTCAGAAATAACATGAAGATATACCTTTTTTTTTTTTTACTCTTTCAGACCCAAAGAATTATCATGGGCAAAGGATAAGGATTTGGATGTTCTTCTGTCTTGTGATAGCCCCAACATAAATATAAAACTGTTGCATGGATGCTGATGTATCCCCCCCAACTGAAGAGTGACTCTGGGTATAAGCCAAGGATACAGGAGACACAGCTGTGTATTTGGCAAGGTAAATAGTTTTGTGAAAGCCTGCAAGGACAGGTGTTGGTTTTCTATTGTCAGGACCCTCAGATGGAAAGAGAGCTGGTAAACATATAGACTTAGAAAGCAATCTGGGGTCAATAAGATGAGGCACTGAGGTAGTGGTAATAAGACATCCATTTATTTCTTCTTCCTATGCAGTTTATGTTATGGATGGCTTTTAACAAAGAAGGATCATATAAAATTCAGCTTTACACCAGAAATACAAGATTTGTTCCAAATGGAGATGGAAGAATTACTGCATATCTGAGTAACTAATTAACAGAAAATAATGTGGTTGCTGTTTCCACAAACACGTGTAGTTCAAATGCACTTACTTGGTCAAGACAATAGACACTGCATCATTGAGAATGCTTTCTCCAAAAACCAACATGTTAAGTACTGGATCCACATTGAGGGCATTGAAAATGGCAATAGTAGCCACAGGGTCAACTGCAGATATCAAAGAGCCGAATGCAAAACTGGGAGAACACAAAACAAAAAAGAAAACTAGATGAAAGAAAAATATGTACCTAGGAAACCCAAACCACCACAACAACTAGTAACAAAGACATTACATGTTACAGTTTCTACATAGTGAAAAGTTATGCTCTCTTCCCACCATAAGAGCTTGAAGTGACAAAAGGGAAGTTTTTGATTTTCATTTACAGATACACCAAAGAGAAAAGTTGTTGTCCAGCTGCAAGAGATTTTGGAGAAATACCTATCTCCCAGCTCCCAACAACAGTATCAATGTCTTACTCCAACTAAGTAAGAAAAAAATCAGAAGAACGGGAATCCAAACAACTTTACAGACATAGCCCAAACCATGTATCACACACGCTTAGTGTTACCTGTTCAGGAGTACTAGAGAGGAACGTTTAAAGGGAACTGCTAAAACTTCAATACTTGGGAATCCAAAATAGACAATACAGTGGCAATGGCACTGCTCAGCTGTGTAAAGTCAAACACTGGAACCAAGTAGGGAAGATTTCTGCTGTTCATGTGTGTTTTACTTGTGATGTTTCTTGCTTGCCACCCAGTTTATTTATGGATTTTAACAAAACACCTGTATTGGCTATACAATAAACAAACAAAAATCCCAAATAAACCAGGAACGAACTTTATTTAATGGTAGGATGGTGTACTCCTAAAAAACTGATTAGATCCTTCGCAAGTTCCTGAAAAATCTATGTTATTGATACTGAAAAACCCATTCTGTCTTTTAAGAGAAGATTTGGACAAGGAAGTTATGCTCTTATCATATATATTAATAATACCAACTAATCAAAGTTTACATACTTTAACTTTAAGGTTGGTTAAAAACCCCATTATCTTTCCTGTCTAGAAAAAAATAACTGAGCACAGAATACTATTTGTAAATAAGGGTGTAATAAATAGGGTTTATAAGTGTTTGATCTATTTATTAGTTTCATACACCATGTAGAATCTAAGCAATCTAAATGATAACCAGAAGAGGTAGTCAACTACAGTGCATTTCCCATATACAATTATCCTGAAGAATGCTTCATTTCATATACTACAGCATTTCCCCAAGAGCTTACCTGTCTGTCATGTTGAGTTTATAAATTACATCAGCCTGAAAGAATAGGTAAAACATAAAAAAAAAAATCACAATCAACTGTGTTTTTCTGCTGTTTTTAAAAATGAAACTATTCATCAAATCCTAAGTTCACAGTAGTGATGTTACCCAGTATAACACTGCTCTGCAACAGTGATCTACTGCTACAATTCTGGTCACCCAAAATCAGGGAACACCAGATGAAACTGGAACAGATACAGGTGACTACAGTAACTAAGGCATTCAAAGGAATGGACGTCTGAGAGGCAAAGAGGAAAGTATGGATTGTTTGGCCTACCAGAATGAAATCTGAGAGAAAATATAATTATCTATATCTGTATCTAATCAATGGGGAAACATCAAAGCAGAGAAGCGGGAAAAAAATTATTGACAGAAGAACAAATAAGTTTAATACTGGAAACTGGAAGATGACTCTAGAGAATACAGGTTTTGGACCAGCTTTCCAATAGGAAGATTGAGTAAGTAAAAAAAAAAAAAAAATTAAAACTCAAGTCTTTATTACTTTTAACATGGAGCATGCTATATCTATGGAAGGGGTTCTGTATCATTGCCTCTGTGATAGCAGAAAACTGGCTTTTGTGACCCAGAAATTTACTTTCGCTATGTTTGTCTGCTCTTGAGAAATGGACTTTCAAAGAGCAAGACAGATAAACTTAAGTGTTTCAAGGAAGTTATTCTTACCTGGCCCAGGAAATAAATTCCTCCACCTACAATGAAAGCAGATATTGCAGTGCCAAATACAGAAAACAGAGTGATGGAACCAATGTTCTGAAAAAAATTACCCTGGAACAAAAAAAGTAAATTAGCAAAAATTATCTGAGGCAAAACTCGTGTTTAGCTTTGCATCTAAATTAGATTCTGATTCACAACTGGGTTTCCGATAAAAAAGCTTCCTTAGTTTGGTTCCAGGTACCCCAGGACATACATCCACGCCATCTGCCTAAAGAGCCTGCTCTCCTGAGGACAACAGCAAATCCCTCTGATACCCAGGACAGGATGTCAGTCTGGTACCCTAACAACATGCCAATCCTGGATGACCAACAGCTGGATATTCACCAGCCCCTCGACACGTTCCCCATCTGACAGAACTGTAAATGAACCCATCTATTGTAGACAGGGCATGTGAAAAAGGCTTGTAAACTTCCCAGCTGGTAGTCCATTTCTTAGGTTGTGATTTCTTACGAAAAATCTTCAGCGTTGGTACCAATTCATGATATTACTATCACCCACTGCTCACTGCCTGTCCTGCAGCACAGTTCAAATAGAAAAACAGCACACAGGGAGGACCAGAACCACTTCAGACAGGACTAGCGCTGTGAGAAATGTCCATGGAAACACACGTTCCCAGGCAAAGCATCAAAACGCCTGTAAACATTTTCCTCCTCTTTAGCTGTGGAGTGACCCTACCTTTCCCACTTCTGATCCTACTCCTTCCCACTTTGCCTCCTTCACATCAGCCCTTGTACAGCTCCGATGAGGTAAGAAACCTCTCCAACCAAGGAAAACAACCTCTGCGCAGTACCTAAAACCTTGCCAACATTCAGTTAACAGTAACAAGCTACATTCCCTGCATTCTGGGTTGGAGGCTTAAATTTTGCATTCTCAATTCCCTGATGATTAAGATGACGGAATTTAATGCAATTATTCTAAACTTCATGAAGATAACTAAAAGCAGAATGTGTTCCAAACAAAACCTCAACATGTAAAATGAGTGTCTGGCAGGGGCTAACCTTGTGCAATGAATATCCAGATTCAAATATAATAGGTGGAAGCAAAAGCAGAAAAAACATATTTGGACGAAACATTTCTTCTTCCTGCAAAACAAAAATGAAGTATAATTTCAAGGATGGCATAATTACTGAAACAACATCAAATCTTCCAAGAGAGAAATTATTTAAAAAAAAAAAAAAAATGTTGGAAAATGAAAATGGCATTAATCTCTCTCCCTTCTTATCACAAAATAAAAGGCTGAAGAATAGTAAACTACTCCAGGGCTGCTACTTCTATTGTTTTGGGTTTTTTGAGTCCAGTGATAGGAATCTAAGCGTTACTTGTTTTAAATTACTGTTTTCAAATAAGCTGCACAGAAAACAGGTTAGTTATGGCAAAGGAAAAGTCTTTCTGTTTCCACAAAAAGTATTCCCATTTTATCTCACGGTCTCAAAATCTGTAAGGACTGTCAAGGAACAGTGACCTTGTGGCCACTCGTTTGAAGATAATCTAGGTTAACCGTGACCAAGCACAGTTTCACTAGAAAACTCATCACCTGACAAGAAGAAATCAGTTCATCATCTTAATACATTTGCAAGTGAACAGGCTCAAGATATATACCACTATTAAGACTCTGAGGCTTGATTCCTCTTGGCAAATATATTTTATGCCCATAATTTAGTGGTACTATTCTGATGGTTCCTTTTTACCATCAGAGTGATATAAATGAAACCTACTGTGAACTAAGATACTATTTTTTGGTGACCTTACTCCTTTTCGCCTATCTCATCACTTGGCTAACACTGCTTCATGGAGTTGTACCCCCAAACTAGCAGCCTGTTTTTTTTCTGCTGGCAAACTAAGCACAGAAGACAAATTTATCACAGCTGAATGTGCCTCTCTTTCTTTACCCACCAGGCTCCCTCCTGGTCCCCACGGTTACGAATACAGCAGAACTTATCACCTTTGTAAGCAGTGTTTAATTTGTTTAAATCCAGGTTAAACAGGTGATTGACTGTTCCGTTAAAACACCAGCTTTCAAAAATGAAGCACTCATCTCTTTAAAGTCTCATTCCTGTCTGTACCAGCGATAATCATCTTAAAGGATTTGGGGGACTCAGAAAATAAAACTCATCCTTTATACAGAAATGCTCTAGTCCATTATTCTGCACACAAAATTCCGTGCGTCGATGGCTAACGCTACCTAGTTTCTGTCAATACAGTAACTGCGCTAGAACAAAATACCCACATACCCGATTAACTACACTGTTTAAAAGCCCCTGAAAGCAGAGCTGGACAAGGAAGTGAGAAATAATGGAAAGGAAGAACTGCATCTGTGCTGCATTGAAGCAGAGACCAGGAAAGTAAAACATCAGGACTGTAATTATCAGCCATGCCAGCCAGCAAGAATCACCAGCAAGTACAAGGTCCACTGAAGCCTTAGTAAGGCATGATTGCAAGAAATTACATTACAAAGTTCTTAGGGCAGGGATATGATCCAAGATTTGCTTTGTACACAGACATAGCCTGCAGTTAAATATGCTATTTTTTTTCCGTATCAGATAAACAGAAATCCTCTAGTAAATTTAAAACCATTTAAAACCATTTTATAAAGTACATAATTATTATTGATTAGAAAATTTCACATCTGAAATTATGACAGCCTATGTTAAAACCTAATCTTTAACACAGTGAAAGTAACTTAAATAAGCAAATAATAATGTGATATCTGTGACCCTTTACCTTAGCTGATAACGTGACCACCTGGATGCAGCATCTCCAGTGCCTCCCAAGATTTGACCAATGCTTACCAGAAACAAACTACGTAATTCACTAGCTATGATCAGTATCGCCTGTGTTTATAGAATCAGTGCTCAAATCAGAGCATACTTTAAGCTTTTTTTAATTCCTACATATGTGATCTTCTTCAGATTATTTTACTTAACCAGTAAGAAGCTATTTTAAAATGCTGATTTTGCGGCTGTTTAACTGATGTTAAATTTTAAGTCAAATCCAGTTGGTACAAATCAGGAATGAAAAAACACTAACTAGTGCACCACCCACTGTTTCTAATAAGTAAACATGTAAAAATGAAATATCACAACACACCTCTTGAACTATGTAATTGCTTAAATGAATGTACACAGAATTAGTGTAGTTAGTTGTCAAAAATAGGATAATATGTAATTAAAAAGCTACATCTAATTGAAAATCTAGGCATTTTAATGTATTTCAACTAAGGAGGAAAAAAAAAATCTTCCTTTAGGGAATAACTGCCAAGAAATATTAAGCTGCAAGCTAGGATTAAAATTCACTACTCAGACCAAGATTTTCAGCTTGCTAATATAAATCCTGTTTAAAACTGGTGATTCAAATCACTGTGATTCCATTCAGTTCACTGATTTAATCCTAATAAACTGTTTGATCCTATGAAACAAAATCACAATTTAAATACTGCAAGATTTTAAATTAAAGCAGGAATAGCGGAGAGATCATTGCTTTGATGATGTGGATGAACCGTAGGAGGCAAAATCCTTGCTTCACTGTAGACCACACTTCTTGGAGACACTTCTGCCAGGACTCTCCCTCCCTGAGGAAGCCTCTGTAACTCCACACACACACAGGTAAGACCTCACAGCATCACACACTAATCCAGATTGGGGGGGACCTCTGGAGGTGTCTGATCCAAGCCCCTGCTTAAAAGCAGTGCCAACTCAGAGCAACTTCAGCTGCTCAAGGCTTTATCCAGCCAAGCTTTGAATCACAGAATGATAGGGGTCAGAAGGGACCTTCAAAGCTCATCTAGTCCAACCCCCCTGCCAAAGCAGGTTCACCTGCAGCAGGTTGGACAGGAACGCATCCAGGCGGGTTTTGAGTATCTCGAGAAGGAGACTCCACAACCTCTCTGGGCAGCCTGTTCCAGTGCTCAGCCACTCTCAAAGTAAAAAAGTTTTTCCCCATGTTGAGAAGGAATTTCCTGCATTCTAGTTTGTGCCCACTGCCCCTTGTCCTGTCAGTGGGCTCCACTGAAAAGAATCTGGCCCCATCCTCTTGCCACCCGCCCTTTAGATATTGATAACATTGGTAAGATCCCCTCTCAGCTGCCTCTTCTCTAGGCTAAACAGACCCAGGTCTCTCAGCCTTTCCTCATAAGAGAAGTGCTCCAGTCCCTTGATCATCTTCATAGCCCTCTGCTGGACTCTCTCCAGTAGTTCCCTGTCTTTCCTGAACTGGGGAGCCCAAAACTGGACACAGTACTCCAGATATGGCCTCACCAGGGCAGAGTAGAGGGGGAGGATGACCTCCCTCAACCTGCTGGCCATGCTCTTTTTAATGTATCCCAGGAGACCATTGGCCTTCTTGGCCATATTGCTGGCTCATGGTCAACTTGTTGCCCACCAGGACTCTCAGATCCCTCTCTGCAGAGCTGCTTTCCAGCAGGTCAACCCCTAACCTGCCCTACACTTGCCCTTGTTAAATTTCATTAGGTTCCTCTCCACCCAACACTCTAGCCTGTCCAGGTCTTGCTGAATGGCAGCACAGCCATCTGGTGTATCAGCTACTCCTCCCAGTTTTGTGTCATCAGCAAACCTGCTACAGATACACTCTGTCCCCTCATCCAGGTCATTGATGAGTAAGTTGCACAAGACTGGACCCAGTACGGACCCCTGGGGAATACTGCAAGTTACAGGCCTCCAACGAGACTCTGCGCCGCTGATCACAACCCTCTGAGCTCTGCCATTCAGCCAGTTCTCAATCCACCTCACTGTCCATCCACCTAACCCATGCTTCCTTAGCTTACCTATGAGGATGCTACGGGAGACAGTATCAAAAGCCTTGCTAAAGTCAAGGTAGACAACGTCCACTGCTTTCCCCTCATCCACCCAGCCAGTCATGCCATCATAGAAGGCTATCAGATCGGCCAAGCGTGATTTCTCCTTGGTGAATATCTTTGTGGATGGAGATACCCACAATCTCTCTGGTCACATGGTCCTACGGTTGCCATCACTGTTAACGTTTTCTTCCTAATATGTAAGTCGGTAAAACACCGGGCATCTGGACAAGGACAACCTTCTGCACAGAAGCTTTGCCTGTATTTTCTGCTGGAAATAAAGCTCAAATCATGTGTCCATTGTCTCAGCAGGAGTGAAAAATGCTGCTGCTTCAGGTACAGTGGTTTCGGCAGTCTTTCCACAAGAAGCAACGGAGTACTCAAGAAACATGCAAGGCTGAATGGATTGCTTTGTGAACTGTCTGTTCTTAGCACCACAGTTTGTTGCAGTTTTAAGCATAAGTAAATAAAATAAGTGAATAACGTGACTTTCAGCACAGCTATTCTGAAGAAGTGCTCCTTTTTACCTCTGAAATGGTTGTTAACATCTTCAGGTAAAACATGGGACTATCAAAACACTTTCTTTTTTCTACGAAAACACCTATAAAAGTAACTCCAAAAGGAGGAATAGGACTTAATGCAGACAAATAACTGAATTGTTATATTTTTTACTGTAACTGATCCCAAAGCCCAAGGCCCAGCACCGCCTTCTACCACATATCTAATATGAACAGATTTGGTACCATAAAAAGGATTACTCAGGGGAAAAACTATTATGTATAAAATGTTCAGTAGGATCAGGAGCTCAAATTGATTGTATTATTATTAAAAGAACCCCAAACTTTGGCATCAAGTATAATGGACATAAGTTTTTGGAAATGACATCTAGAGAAACGGATATTACAAATAGTCTTATTTTTGAACATTTAAGGATTGTTCTACAATTAAAAATTAATTGCTTTCAATATACCTTCCAGTTGGCCAGCTTTTGAGCCTCTATGATTTTTATAAAAGCTCCCATAAGGATACCTAGGAGAGAATGAGACAACATTCTGAAATATTCACAAAACACATCACTGTTTCCATTAACTACTGAGTCTCAGTCAACAAAGATTTAAAAGTGAAAACAAGGCAAAACATGAAGTAGAGAGTCTTTCATTCCTAAATCACAAAAACACCGAGTGCTTTTGGGTCTGATATATGACAGTGTCCGGTATGTTGCATAATTACATAGCTTCCCTACTCAAAAGATTGTCACTTGGGATATCCAAATACTGAACACGCATATCGAGAATGCTGTGTTCATTGGTTCATAAAGGTAGCAGGTTTAACTACTCAAAACCACTTCTCGTCTAAGCTGCATTCAAATAAAATTCCAGCTTTCTTGCTAATCAGGAGCGAAGTTATGAGTTAGATATGAGTTAGATATCTGTGTGACAGCACAAAACCTTTGTGTCACTTCAATGCTATTTGCAGTGTTAACACAGCTTAAGTGAAATCAATCTTCTCCACAGAAGTGAATTCTGTCTCAATGAAATCATAGCACTTACTGGCAACAAATTCTGATCAGGGTGGAGACACTGTCAGAACTATTTCTCAAGCGAATTACATATTTTTTAAGTCATGTAGAAATACTAATTTGAATATAAAAGAATTTTATCAAGGGTGCTGCAAACTCAATGTTTAAAGGTTATTGTGCTCTTTCCTCCTATACATCTCTAAACAGATAAGACACAAAACTCCAAACAAACAAGATTTCTTCTGGAAGTCATGAAGATAATTCATGAACTGTCATTAAGTGCTTTCAAAGAGTTATGAGGAATTTGTCTTTAGTCAGATTCCAGATCTGTGTTTCTGCATAGTTGTGTTTTATTATTTATAGAATGGAGACTTCAGAGTCAAACACTGGGACTTAGAGTGAAATACACTGAACGAAAGGTAAAAAGTGGCTGAGAAGCTTAAAGTATGCTTTCCTGTAACTCGTGTTTTTATTCTCTCATGCTGTAGCTATCAAAAGAGTCTTACAAATAGCATCACATGGATTACTCCTGATGGATGTGTCATACACACAAAGCCATGAGGCTTAAGCCTTCTTTCATACAAAAATATGTGAAGGCATTGGTCCCAGAGGATAGAAATAATTGTTCCATGAAATGGTTTAGATGGAAAGGCAGAGCAAAACATTAATGAAGGAACATCAAAGGCCTGCTGTTCTTTGAAGGAGGACAGAATGCAGATACAGCCACTCACATGCCATATAAACACAGGTCTCAGTACTAACAGTCAGGCTTTCCATTCCGGGATGGAAGCTGTCAGAAGCCAAGGACTAGAACATTTTTAATTTTTGCAAAGCAGGAACATTGTATTCAACTGGCACAGGCAGTACTTGTATCACTCAACAAGAAGTCTATGTGGGGAAAAAACAAACCACAGCAACCAGAGGCTGTACATGGCAAGGCACAGACTTCAGGAAGTGTACTTCCTGAACAAACTTTCACTATTTTATGAATTAGTATTGAGAGCTCTCACATAAAACTATGTTTAGACAGGATTTAAAAGAAGAGACAACTCCATAACTCACTCCCGCTGAAGTAGAAGGGCTCCAGCGCGACTTTGCGAAATTGGACACCTGCGAGTGGGCCAACCATGGCCTGTGGGCTACAAGCTGGGCATCCCTATCGGATGAGCTCAAGAGGCTTAAGTGAAAGGCTGGTCTCAATCTCTTTTTCAGAGGAAGAGCTAATCACAAGCTGACCCTAACAACAGTGTCACGGACAGACAAGGTCCTTTCATGATATCAAAAGTTAAACAAACAACAATACAAATGTAAGATAACACGAGAGGTTAAAGGAAAAGGATGAGCCTGAATCATACAACCTACACCTTTATATAACACAAGTTACTTCTAGCTGCATATCACACACAACAGTGCTACTAAACTAAGATTAAGCTAAGCAAAGCCATGAAACAGGGCTGCACAAAATAATGCATCACCAAGAGGGTTTAATAGCAGCTGAATCAAACTTTGATGCTCTTTTTTAAAACCTGTCCCACACATCTTTACAAACTACTCTTCTTTTATTACTAGATTAATGAACACAGTTTTTGTTCGACTGGTTGCATCTATTAAATCAGGCAGATCAGCTTTCTCAAGGGGCTAATTGGAAAGCTAAGTCTGTAAGACATAATCTAAGCTTCATTCTTTTGAAAATGCTATAGGAATTTTCTTAATTACAACCAACTTCTATTTTTCCCCGAGAGCATGTTAAAATTCAGTAACAAATCGAAGAGAAAAACTCTTCTGTCAACTATTTTTGCCAACAAAATTCCAGTAACTTTTAAGGATGAAGATAAAAATCCAGCCTTAGGGAATGCACTCCCATCCTGTCCACCAGGAGAGTAACATGCCCTAGAAACTGTAAAACAGAAGCTTCTGAGCAGCTTAGACAATGGGAGGAAAAACAGTCATGAAAATCATACTTCTCTGCTGCCATTTTTATTAGCGTTCAATAACTGCCTGGGAACATTTGCTTAATTTACAAGTCAAAATAGGACACACCTCACTTCTGGCACTGCTCGCAAAACTGGATACTTGAAACTCAAGCTGTGCTCTTGCAGCTGTGTAGATCATTACCAGTAACAGAGGTTCACTGACCAGCAATTAGCTGGCAATTCCAATGATTATACAGATGCCGCGTCCTGTCAACAGAGCTGACAGTAGTTTAAATATGACTGAGTCAACAAACTAAATAAATAAGGCTTAAGTGATACAGGACATCTGTTAGCTGGGTTGCTACTGGGTATAACACCCTCTTGACTTAGTGGAATTGCATTTGATGGTATTATCTCGTTTGGTTTGGGGGACAGACTACAGCTATGCTGCAGTTTACACTGACAAACGAACTGTGCAAGTTTCCTATACTCCCTCTATAAAAGAGATGCAATGCTGTTCCCTCTTACCAACCCTGAGGAGCATTGACAGCCCCAGCACAAAAACTTATCAGTTTCATGAACAAGCTTTTGTTGGGACTGACAGGAGCACAGAACACACCAGCACAGCTAAGATCCTTGTCCGGTTGCTGAGATGCCAAGAACAAGAAACAGAAAGAGAAGACTGACACTGCCTCAGCTGCTCTCTGCAAAGCCCAGCAGGAGCAGTGATGGAAGCTTGCCCAACATCTCAGCTCCGCACTGCCCAGTAGTTCGCTTGGGGCAGAATATAAGGAATGATAGTAAAGAAAATCCAAAACTATGCCAGCAAGAGCAATTACCATACTGATGCATTTTAAATTGGCGATTATGCTTAAATTTAGCTATTTAATAACAATGGTAACTAACCTAATTAGAAGACAAATTAACACCTTTCACCTGGATTTTTGTGTACAAAGAGGAATGATACTGAAGGGACAGTAATGTCCTTTTGGAACCTTTCAAGACACTGGAAGATATGCAACACAAGACATCTCGCCTCAGCACAGTGATAACATAAAAAGGGAAAGAAAGAGAAGTGTGTCAATAATGAATCAAACGCTGCATGTTTTGTATGGAGTTTCTACAAAGTCGGGATGATCTGCAGCAACTCTGATCTTTCTATGTCATACTACGGTAGCCAGAAGCATAAACACACTAAAGTCTGATGGATGCTGCTCCTATAAAGATGAGTTGTGTGTGCAATACCCAGGAAATCCATACCAGCACTAGTAAGATTCCTTACAGGTCTATTTGGTTTTAAGCTGCACAGAAATACCAAAACTCAAATAAAGGCTTGCAAGCAAATGTCTCTCTCAGCTTCAATACTTTCCACTGTGCTAGTAATGCGATATGGTCTGCATCAAACAGAGTTATCTAAAAATTCAGGGAGTCATGCCTGCAGGAAAATATGTTTTTCTATCTGCTAAGTAACAGCTCTAAGATTTTCTCAATCTAGCACCCAAGATGCAAGACGATACTTTTTTTCCAGAAAACATAAGGTACTGACAAGCACCAGAAAGCTTACTTCCACCCATTGAGAAATTGTGTGAAAATACAGTTAAGAAATATGAGAGAAGAAGGTATCAGGAAAGCCCAGGACAAAGTCAAAAATCTACCTGCTCAACAAGTATTACACTCCTCCATGGTATATTAGGATTACAGCTAGGCATCTTTCTCTTTTGGTTGTATTTTTACAATGGCTGTCACTGAAAGTGTCACTAGTAACAGAAGCAAAAATATCACAGATTCTTCCACGCAAGTTACAGAGACAGCTGAAAAACTGTTGCTGGGGTTAGTTATACCAGGTTCTTTAAACATTATGTTAGACAGTATGTAGATAAAATAATAAATGTATTTGGCCCGATTTCCTCCTCATTTACACATTTATAAATCAGGACCAACAGCATACAAATAAATGAAATTACCCTAACATAAAACTACCAGCTTACGAATACTCCAAATTCAATTCCAATTAAGTAAGCACTTGATTTTCATAAAGGGTGACATTCTTATAGCTCAAGTCACAGGAAGAGCTCCTGTCATGTTACTACAGAGATAGTTAAGTATCTGGCAGTCCAGGCAAGTTTTCAGGATACAATTACAGTCCCCAGCCAGATTAAAATCACATATACAAACATAATTCTACTGAAACTAATACAAACACGTGTACCACTTCAAAGAGAAGGCCAGAATCTCGCTGCCACGGAGTACTTTCTCCTATAGTGCGGATGCAAAAATAGAGGAAGCTGCCAAAGTACTTAGGTAGTGACATCCCTGTCATTTCACTGGGCCAGTCTCTGCACATATGCTCATTTCTTGATTTCTTCCATGAACTTAATTCTACAAATTGGTTGTTTTCTTCACTTCATCCAATTTTCTGCATCTTTCTAGTGACTGTTAACACACATCAGAGCATTATTTCAAGCACAGACTACTAAAAGTCCCTGAATTAACACAAATTCAATATAAAAATGTCACGGTTACTCACCTAAAGAAACAACAGCCACACTCTCTGGTAAAAAATGAAGTCGGTATTTTATGAGTAAATGCACCAATATGATGCAGATAGCTGTGAAGAAGAAAAAAAAAAGAATTATAGAAGTGTTAGAAGAGAATAAAATATACTTTTAAGTAGTATTACTAAAGTACACACAGCAAAACTTCTCCTAATGATTTAGTAGAAATCCACTAACGCAAGTAACCAAATTTTAGTTCAAACCTAATTCTCACTGAAGTACGTAAATGGATCTAGAAATGACAGAAAATAACTAAGGCAAATTTTAGGACTTAAAATTGTCTTCTAAAAATACCAGTATTACTACTTTTAGAGCCTGATTCAGCTTACAAGAAAAGCTGTGAGCAGTAGCTGTAAAAATTGTCAGTTATACAGAATACACTGTTTTAATAGTTTTTGGCAAACATTTTGTATTTTTAAAATAAAACATACAGGTACACATGGCCTCAGTTAAAATTTCAAAGCTATGCACTTTCACATCTGAGTCCCTCAGAGCAGATGGGCTTTACCCAAATGGATAATCACAAAATCGGAAAAAGTACATTGGAAGGGACCTCTTGAGGTCATCGAGTCCAACTGCCTGCTCAAAGGAGGGCTAACTTCAAAGTCAAAGAATTTAAAACTGATACAAGATTCACTCACTGGTTTTAAAAATTCAATTTTGTCCTGTAGTAATGTATTTCACCCAGTAGGGAGAAAGTCTGTCTCACAACAAAAACAAAGGTTACAGTAATATGAAAATTCCATCACAGCTTCTATGCTAATGCTAAAGACAAACTACAAAGGATGTACAGCAGATCTGGGTACCATCCGTGGATACGGCTGGAAGACACCACCTGATTCTTTTAAAACTACTGCAGACAGGAAACTTCTCTATAAGAATGAAATAATCCTGGATTAAATTCCTAACAATTTTGATCTGAATATTGCCCACACTGAAGGTATCGCAATTCTTCTCCAATTTTAATTTAGCTCAACAAAGGGTCAAACAAAGAAACAACATCTGGCCTGCATGTTTGTAATACATGTATTTTGCTCTATTTGCTACCAAATCATTCTGCAGTGGCCCAGGATATATGCAGTATTACTGCTTGCGTTTTGTCAGAAAGCAACAGAAGCTCAAGCGCAGTCAACAGCATTTTATATACTGGAATCAAACGGTGGCCTGGTAATCACAGCAGAGACTGTTTTAATACTGTGTGTATTCGACAAACCTAGTCATAACTGCAACGGGAATCTTCACTCTCCTTACTCCGTGCCTTGTGTCTGTGACCCTAACCCTATTTTACTGTGGGCAGCGCAGTCCCAGGCCACAACACAACAGTGCACATTTTGAACTTGGGAATGAACCAGCTTCTGGGAACTGCTCTTAGTGATTTGGTCTAGCAGCTCCTTCTAGTTAACTAAAAACCAAACAGCCACTCACAGATGGTTCAGAAGAGTGCTTTCAATTTACAGCCTGAAAAGGTGCAAAACGGTCCACAAGTATTTCTGAGCACTGGCATGGTTTGCTGGATGTAGTTCACCCACCTGTGAACTACTGGGGCCTACAAGATGACCTGTATTTACTATATAGTGCCACAAAAAGAAGTACAAACCTCATAAATACAAAAACCACTTTAATCGTCATACTCCCCAACACAGTGCTAAGCAATGGGTACCACACTGATGCCTGCATTCTCCCACTTGTTATCTTGTACACCCAGTTCATACAGAACATGGTAAGCATTTCATTGATGTGCACACGAATAGATGGATGGGTTTATGAATTGAGCGAGGACTCATGCAAAACAGTAATATTTGCTCAATTACTGGCATGTAATTTGTTCAGGGCCAAAGCTGTGGGTTCGGAGTGATGAGCAGGGATGGCCCCATTCCTGCAGACTGGCAGGGCTCCCTTCCCCGCACACTGACCCCACTTCCACTCCACCAATCTTTATGATATCAATCAGTCAGTTCTCAAAACACCTGAATTCATAGTACAGTACTTTAATGCAGACTCAAGCTGGTGTTTACTTTAAAATGCTGTACTAGAAACTGCAGCAGTTCAGAAGCTGACTAACAAGGAAATCAGACATTTCGCTGCCAACTGCCAAATAGACTATGGGAGCAATAGCTTCCTCATGTATCCCAAGCAAACTTTTTATTCACCTTTCAATCAGTACTACTGAGTTTCGTATCAATTTCCTGCCTGTTAAACATGAAAAATATGCATCCAGTAAAGACATCTAGGATTACTGAGTTAAAAGCATTCTATACTGGTCTTTGAGATAGATCCATAAAGACATCTGGACTTACGGATTTCCAGCCAACTCCAGTGCAAACACAAATATGCTTTCTATTTCGCAGATCTAATCATCAGCTCTTTTCTACCAGCTTTTGACTACTTTGCTTTGGCAATAAAACAAAAAGCAACCATAGTCTAAGAAGCAACTCTCCACCACCATAAATATTATGGCAGCCTGGTATATTCTTTAGCTGTCGCTCACCCATTCCTTGTGTAAGACTGCTTAGTTTGTATCTGGTAGCATGTCATCTGTTCCAGGCACTTGCACGTATCAGGAGTAAAACAATCAGGCAAGTGTTCTGGACAGGCTAAAAGAACATTTGAGTGTCCCCTTAAGGAAGAGCATAGTAAAAGCATGTAATGTAACAGAAGGGAATTCATGGATAACACAAACATGGCACAATAGAGGTATGACTTTGAAAGTGAAGTGGTGTTTAAACAGATAAATAAGCCACAGAAATCTGGGGTCAGAGACTAACTCATGCTACTTCAAGCACTTTTAAATTTTACCTTTGACACAACAGAGCTCAGAATGGACCTGCTTCTGGGTCTATTCCAGTTTAGAACATTTTAAAGGCCATTTTACAGCTCACGACATCCAGATTTAAGAGTACGGTATAAAATTCATTTTCACTCTTCCTACACTTAAATCAGAGATTATGAATGGGAATAATGATGAACAATAAGCTTTTATACTGGCTTTACTTTGTTGAGGGAACTCCCCTGACCTGAGGGTGATGCTTTTAAGATCCATTAAGTTATCAGACTGGCATAACTAGGCTGGAACACAGCCAAAACAATCATAGCTCTGTTCTTAAGCCCTAGGAATACAATTTTACCATGAATGGCACTTTTAAAATCCACAAGACACATATTCAGAAATTCTATTTTAATCTTAGAAGTCTTCGGATCTACTGCATTTTGCTTTGGTCTTTCTTTTGTTTCTGTTTAAATTGACCTCTGGGAAAATGTTAACCCTTTTTGGAGACAGAGATACTTTAGAAATAATCAGAAGCCTTCTGCATTTTGCTACACTTAATAATTAGTTATCTATAGGAGACAAATTCTTTTTTTTTTTTTTTTAACCCAAATGATTTGCAGAAGTTTCTGCACTGCTGTCAACTCCATACCTATTATTTTTCCCATTTGCTACTGGAAAGAATAACTACCTAGAAGACTAGGTGACCCGTCTGTCACAGAAAAGTCTCTCAGTGTAGCTTGCTTTGGAGAAACCAAGCACACAAACACACAAAGGAAAACAGAAAAACCCTTAACCGTCCATGAAAGTTATGTTACAGTTTTGACTACAGCATTGCTCTAAGCAATTAGAGATAACTACATTCTATTAAAGAAAGACAACAGCCCAGACTTACAGAAAAGTTGGGCGTGCATCTGCCATTCAAAATGCCTATATATGGCAATCTGCATGTTATTACTGCACTCCTGTAGGAATGTTAGAAAGTAAGGAGAACCAGGAAAATAGATACTGAACTTTAGTACTTGTGCATGTAAATCTGACTGTCTTCTATTGGCTTATATAAAGAAATATCTGAGGGCTGCCCAGAAGTGCTAGAAGTAGTTGACATCTGTCTAGTACACTGTCCTCAAAGACAGCTGCAAGTGCCGTGGTGTATTCTGACAGTGTCTTTTTCATACATGAACACATGCCATGTACTTGATAAAGAAGGCGAAGACAATTAAACATATTGTTTGCACTTTAAGAGCACAGTGAAAAGGTTTGCAATGGTCCTCAGCTTTTCAAAGGCTTGGGAGGTTCAGGCAGTTATATACCTAACTTTCTAAATCCGTGTGCCTGTACAATATTCTACTTCATAGAGAGAAAACTGAAGGAGAAATAAAATGCTATGATTTTGAAAGCTGGCCTATGTCCTCAGATACAGAGTATGATTAACAGAGATTAAAAAACTTTCAGTTCATCATTCACCTACTACAAGAAGACTAAAAAAAATCGTCATGCCGCTAGATTGCTCCTCTTGCTGTGCTTGGACTCCAGTCTGAACTGGAAGGATAGGTTTAGCAGGTGTAGGTACCACCAATCTGGTAGTAGCAGCCAGCGTAGTGTGGAGGGTGACATTGATGACTTCATGGGTGGCATTTGCAAACCTGTCAGGATAACATAATACGTGATTATACTTGATGGGAGCAGCATGACAAAGACTTAGCCTACTAAAGACATACACACATAAAACAACCACCAGATCATACTGAATTTGTACTAGTGACCAACATGTTAAGGTTGCTTTTTAAAAGCTGTCTCTGATCACAAATATGGAAATTCAGATTCACAGATTTGATTAATGCCGAGTTCCTTCACGCAGTGCAGACACCAAATACTCTGCACTGCAGCTTGGGATGGGGGTGAAAGCCTGACTCAGAGGGAAGGAACCAGCCCATTTAGCCTGTCCAGTGTAACAAACGCTGTGTCAGACCAACGGCACTCGCAGGGACTGCACTTGCTGGTTCCTACAGCCCTCCCTGCCGCGCAGGGTCGCTTCAGAGCCCGCCTCCCCCTCCCGTGGGCAGGATGCTCCCGGACCCCCTCCAGGGCCCGCGCTGCAGCCCCCAGCCCAGGGGTAGGCA